GCTAATTTTTAAATATATGTTTATATTTCTAGGAGTCTTACTCTTAAAAGAATCTATTCCCACAAAAGTCAAACCTTTGTTTCATGCCTGGTCTGTGCTATGGACTCTTTGACCTGTCTCTTCTCTGCCGGTGAGGTATCAATATGCTAATACCAGTATTTTACACTTCCGGGTCTTTAACATCACCTTCTGATAGAAGTTTCAGTAAATGCAGTGATCAAAAGACTCCAGCGTGGAAATGTGAACTGGAATCCCAGCTCCATCATGTGGGAGCCCTGGGTGCAGAGTGCATGACTCACACCCGTGTCTCAGTTCTGCGATCGCAGCAGTGGCAGCAGTGAGAGCGCCTACTCAGATGATGTGAGGACTGAACAACCTAAAACAAAAAATGGAGCTCAGAAAAGTGCTTGGCACAGAAACTGCTACATACAAATGATTATTAATAACAATTTACCAACATAAATTTCAAAGACATTGAATTTATTTGATAGAGACATACTTGCAACTACTAGGTGTCTCCACCGCAAATGGTTTCAGTATAGTCCAGATATATTTTCTTGAAATTCCTTTGAACCATATTCTAACCATATTTTGTTATTCTTTTCTATTCTTTTTTTGTCATTCATCTTTCCTCCCATTCTCAGTCACGTTTCACTGAACTCCAACGAGAAGATACTTAACAAAAAAAATCGGTGAACAGACTATGACAAATCAAAGTTCCAAAGAGCTGACTGACCCGCTTGCCTCTCTGACCGCAGAGCTGTTCCCAGGACAGCGCTGAGCTGAGCCGAGCACAGCTCCTGCCCCTCCGCTCTTGGTGATGCCCTGCTCGAGGCATCTCACTTGGCACACAAATACTACATGCTGCCACAAATTGTTTTCAAACTGGTTTTTTGGTTTTTTTGCGGTACCAGGGATCAAACTCAGGACCTTCTACTTGTGAGGCAGGCGCAGTGCCACTGAGCTAAATCTCTGGCCCTAAACTGTTTTTCTATTCAAAGAAATGTTTTAATTAAACATACCAGGGATTTTATTTTCTAATATATTTTATTGGTATACTTTAAAAGTATCTCATACAAGTAGAATCAGGTAAAAAAATAAAATAAAGTTGGGCACAGTAGCAAGAATATCAAAACAAATTAAAAAACATAAACATATTTATTACTATTTCATTTTATACGGGGAGATTTCAATTATGATATAAGAGACTTCACAACTGAATAATGTCTTAACAGCTAGGATGTACTAACATTCAAAAATAAAACTGCCTTATCGACCATGCTCATAATTAATTAAAATCATACGCCCATCAATAAATTTTAAAACTAAGGAATGACTGGAAAGGACAGCTAAATGGATTGTGAATGACAGACTTTGTGAAATAACATTAAGCATGCACCTCAACTCACCATGTAAAGCCCAAACAAAGCTCTCATGTTTCTGTTGTTCAGTTTCAATGCCTGTGCAAAATACTTTCTTGAAAGTTCGAGGTTTTCAAGTCCACCTTGGGTACATTTAACCTGTTAAAAGTTGCAGAGTGCTGAAACCTGTTTATTTTACTACTCTGAAATATAGCATGTTTCATCATACCACAGGCATTAAGTAACTGCAACAGACATTCTATAAATACATGCAAGATGTTAAAAGAACTCACCCTGAGGTTGCTAACCCTACCCTAAAAATTAAAATGTGACCGCTAAGACCATGCAGTAGTTTTTCAACCAAAAATACTGCTACAATAAAAAGGTCAGTATAATTTTGGATTAAACTGCCTTTCAAATGCTTTACAAAGTTACATTTTCTGTTACTAGGCTTATAAATCTAGACTTCTCTGAATTTTCCTTTTACAGCTGTACTTGAAAAATGACAGTAATAATTGTCCTTTTACACTCTTTAATAACAAAGTCCTTCTCACCTTAATAGCATTAAATTGTACTGATATTCTTAATAGTAAGAAAATGAAATACGTGCTTCCTACACCCCAAAAATAGTAACTTTAATATGAATTTCCTAGAATCTGGATTTAAAAATCAAAATCCTGTGTTTCAGAAGCAACTGGTAATGGCAGTGGTATAATTAACTTACAGTTAGGAAGGAAAAGAGCATTCCGGTACTAATATAAAACTACAAAGTATTTTACTGTTTAAATAGGATTTTTAATTGAAAAGTCAGTATTTCTATCGCAATATTAAAAATTTCAAACATTTATTCCCAACGAGTCAACTTTCATCACATATTTTAGGTATTTATATATGTGCCTAACATGAAGAAAATATTCTTAATGCCTTAATGATGCCCAGCAGCAGCAGCAAAAGTCCAATCTCACACACTCACCTCCGCGTACTGCTGGCAGTACAGGTGGTTGTGGGGATTGGTCATCATCAGCTCTTCCAGACAGAAGGCTGCTTTTGCATAGCTGAAACATACAGAGCAGTAAGGAGTTTTATCTCAGATATGTCTTAAATAATTTTAAAACAATTTAGTCATATTAGACATTTTATTCCCAAAATAATTTAAACAGCTTAATATAAAGATCTTATCTCGAATCCACACATACCAGTAACATCAAGAAGTCTAATGGAATGAATAAACAAGTATGTCTAAATCTTACAGCAGTCTATGAGCAATCAATCAATAGATATTACATTTTAAAACTACATAAAATAGCTTCTGTACATTCTGATTGTTTAATAAAATGTTCAAAAAGGAGGAAACATATTCCATCAAATATTCTCTAATCACTAAAACACTTCACAGACATCTACTTTCCAAGATAGCCTATTACAAAGACTTCTTGTTACTTTTCTGTCACATACCAGAAAATGAAATTATCTGCATAACAGCTGCAGTTAGTTTTGATTCATCCTCCACCACCACTCAACTGTGCAGTGGTGAAACAAGAGCCCTGCTGAAACCGTGTAAGCAGAGGGCTCCGGAGAGACCACTTCAGAGCAGCGACCCCACTCCGCCTGAACCGTTCCCATAAGGCCGGGGGCCCTCCTGCCCATGGGAAGCCTGCAGACACAGGCGCAAGTGCTCACCGTGGGCCACGTGAAAGGCTGCTGAGAGTTACTTACCACCATCTGTCCCCTACATGTAAGGTCCCTACGTCACACCAATGCCTGAGGCACTGGCTTTCAGTGTACACTCCAGTCTCACCATGTGCAATGAGTCACAACAGCTAACCCTTAGCATGTTCTCATTTTCTGTCTCACTCTACGTCATGCATACTCTTTGAAATGTATTTAGTGTGTTAACTCATTTTATCCCACAAAACTCTAAAAATGAGAAAATTATTACCACTATCCTATAGCAGAGAATCCTGAGGCAGAGCCATAACCGAATGTCGGGCTGGACCCTCCAGAGCCTGCATCCTTCAACCACTACACACGCTGCCTGGATCCAGCCCGTCACAGTGAAGAGCCTTTGGGCCCAGCACGAGGTTGCCAATGGCAACAGAAAAAGTGGGTGCAGCAGCCACCCCACACCAAGGGGCCTGAGGCGCCATGGACTCTGCAACCCACCAGACACAGTGCCTCATTCCACGCAGGCTCCACACTCGCACCCAAGATCACGCGGCTGTGTGCCGCTCATTTTATCATCCACAACTCAGCGCTGGTTCTTCAAATACGACAGGGTTCAGTCAGGGACTGGGCCCATAACTGGAGGAATGGCAACCTACCTAATACTTGTTACTCTACAGAAAAGGGAAAGTTGTCTCCAACATAGATACCCAACTTTATTACACAACAGTTTCTTGGAAATGTGTTCTTTCAACTAAGATGATGCCAAATTTCAGATTGAGGCTAAGAATAAATATTCTAAGAGAGTTAAACGGGTTGAGAGCTGACTGGTTCTAGCAGAGCGTAAAGCAAAGTACAATGGGCAGGGAGGACTCTGGTGAACTTAGGGTGGTAGAATTAGCAGTAACTTTTGACTTGGTCTTTATATTCTACAGGGCTTTTCAAATTTCCTGCTTTAAGTATTCTTTAACTTAAGAAAGGGTCCTGGATTATTTGAAATGTTTTAAAATACTTTTAGTTACAAAATCTTCAAAAACAAATTTTAAATGACTATCACGTTAAGGAATAAAATAAAAGTAATCTTGGGCCGGGGATTTAGCTCAGCGGTTCTGGCGCCTGCCTCGCAAGCACAAGGTCCTGAGTTCGATCCCCAGTACCAAAAAGAAAAAAAAAAAAGTAATGTTGATTTTTTTATTGCACTCTGAAAATTGTTTCATGTTATTTAAATATAAGTACCATATACTGCTCCACATGCACAAGGGAATTATGAGTATGTTTAAACCTATTTACACATAAGCAGGTGCGCATCCCAATACAGCACACCGCTTCCTGACCAGACTCTGACAGGCAGGGGGTGGCAGTGCTTAGAAAGGTGCCTAGAATACAGCACACACTTCATTATCTGACAGCTAGCACTTTCATTTTACTTCCACTTTTATTAAAATTATGAAACTACCTCAATCTTTACTTCATATTATAATATTTTATATATATTATATACATAAAATGTATATATACACACACACACCTACACATACATATATACAGGCTTGGTCAAGGGCAATACAAAAATATCTTTATCCTATTTTATTTCCTATGTCAGCTGTTTATAGTATGAGAAAAAGGTTAACTATTCATTCACGCACAACCACGCATGAGAATCTGACTCTACTCTCTCAAGAGGGAAAGAAACAATGTGATAGACTTCAGCTTTTAAAAACTAAGGCAGAAAAGAAAACACTATGCCTCTGGGTGGAGGTTAGCACTAATGCTGTGATATTAGAAAATTTGCACTAAAACTCTGCACTAATCCTCTCACACTGGGATTTCCTCCTGTCACTGCAGCAATACAAAAGCCAACAAAAACATTAAATATCCAATAAGCAAGCTCCTACAGCACTCAACATTCTTGATTATTCTTGGTTTTTTACCCAGGCAACATAACGCCTTTACTCTGGAAGAGCTGATTCTCCTAGCACTAAGGCTAATAAATGCATACAATTGACAGAATTTTTAAACAGCAGGGAGTACAATACTCTTTGTATATAAGAACAATTTGAACTCTAAAACTTCACTATTTTCGATTACCAAAAATAACCTTAGCTTAACAAATACAAGCCTTTCAAATTGTAAAGAATGCCACCTGTTATTTGAAAGAAAAACGTATTTCCCAAAGAAAAGTAAACCCAAATGACCTAGTCAAAGTTATTCACATATTACAACCAGCAAATTATTTATTTTTTTTCACTTGCTGCTTTATTTTGTTTTTCATTTAAAATGAGAGGCGATTCCCATGTTCTTGATACTCTGAAGCTACTGTTTTCTGAGGGAAGAAACTGCATTCTGCACAGTTTTCTGCATGTTTAGCAACTTACTCGTGTTCGCTGATATAAAGTTCTGCAAGCTCATGCCAGGCTTCCTGGTTGCCAACAAATCTGGCGGGAGGAAAGGAGAGCAAAGTAAGTGTGTGGGCATTCGCATTCTGTAAGTGAACAGCATGGAGACAAACAGGAAAGTGAAATGCAAATTCCACTTTAATTAAAAAGACGTCTGAGAATAACAAAACACAATCTCCTTGTAAAACACTCACTGCTCCAGATACTCATTCAGCTCCCGAATGGCCTCCACACTTTTCCCCTGGGCTTTGCGAATGGCAATCTTACGCTTTCTTGCAGCCTATGGGTTGACATTAATAAAGGATTAGCCCGCATGATCCCCTGGGTTTTTGTAAGGAAGGTAATCTGACTGTGCAAATTATTATCTCAATGCCAGTGAAATCCCATTGTGGAACGACTGCTTAGTGAGAGTTTATAAACACACTCCATGACATCCCACTGGGGAATTCAAACACTCCCAACCATCACATATGCTTCACTTTTGATGCATATAATAAACACATTGTTTCAGCCAAACAAATAAGTACCCAGATTCTGATGATGACAAGCCAGGAGGAAACCCCAATCTTTATCCACCTAAAGTCCTTTCTGCTGTAGATCTGTATCTTGCGAGGCAGAGGGATAGGGAAGCATAGAAAAAATAAAAAAAGAATCTTACCAGGGCCACTTGGATGAAATCATACAAAGGCAGTATCTATAAACTTTTCATGATTTTAAGAGTAAAATCTACCTTTGGCTTTCAAAAGAATAAAATAGGTCTTGAAATAAATATTTTATAATAAACAAATTCTTAAAGCTTGCATTTTGAAGTCTAAAATATGGTTGACATAAAAATCCATGCCATTCGTTTATGTATTCAGATGCATATCGGACATCTATCATTTGTCAGTCACTATGCTAGACAATGAAAATACAAAGCTAAGAAGGAGATGACTTCTTGTAGGAGCTCAGTCTCAAAAGAGATAGGTAAGTAAAATATGTGAGGTGATAAAGCTGTCCAGGCTGGAGGACACCAAGGAGGACAGGCTAACGGCTACTGCAGAACGGGAAGAGGACAGCCAGGGAGCAGAGGGTGCCTGATGCCATGGCCATGCTAAGACAGAGACACTGCGAAGAGCAGGACACAGAGCAGGAGGCCAGGGCGGGTGTCTCACCCAGAGGCAACACCAGAGCAGGGTCTGGAAGGTGCGTGAGAGGCCTGTGCACCCTGGTAAACTCGCACCCTCGACCGCTTGACTCGTACAGAAGGACACACCCCTGTGATCTAGCACTCTGGACGCCCACCGCAGGAGGTTCACAAGTTCAAGCCCAGTCTGGGCAACTTAGTGATTTAGTGAGAATGTGTCTCAAAATAAAAAATTAAAAAAGGCTGGAGCTGTAGCCCAGTGGAAAGGCCCCAAGTTCAAGCCTCAGTGCCAAAAAAAACAAAAACCAAGAGAGATGATGTAAAGGTCCAAATCTCCAATGATGAATGTCATTATATTGTATACCTAAAATGCACCAATACAATTAATTAAAAAAAGAAAAATTTTTCTCAAGACCTCCTGAAAATAGGGATAAATTATAAAGAAGAAACTGATTTCTTCTGGGAGATAGAAGAGCTGATCTCACTAACACCGAATAATTTGAAACGTAACTTACTCCTCTTACTTTTCAGGACAGCATGTCTTCCACAGGCAGCATGGTAGAACAAAAGGAGTCTAGGCTTTAAAATAAAAAAGACGGAAAGCTCCTAGGCATGGTGGTGCAGGCCTGCGGGTGGTGGGACAAGGCCACAGGGCTGAGCGCCCCCAGGAGAAGCTGGGTGAAGGCCGGGCAGCAGCTCCACGTGGGCTCTTGCCGAGCCTGAGTGGGCCCAGGGTTCCATCTCCAGCACGGAGAAGACGACCAGAAACCAAGCCCCAGGCCCACCACCCACCAGCTTTCCAGCCGCCTCTCACCCACCTCCAGGGTCAGCAGAAAGCGACCCCGCAAGCATCCAGCACACGGCAGTGAGGCATCGCTCCTGCTCTTCCTCTAACCTCTAGCAGATGTTACCGTTTAGGTGCTGAGTCTCACCACAGCTCTTCAGCAGTGAGACATTAAGGACTGGCAGACTCCACTGTGCTTCACTGTTTACACGTTGCCCCAGTCCCCCTGGGATGTACACTATCTGGTACACAACACCGCACAAATGCAGGGCAAACTTGCTGAAAATAGCGCATTCAAGTGCCACAAATCAAAAACCCAGAGCACAAATACAAACAGCAGCTAACAGAGTCACGGGAATGAGCACAGCCGGGTGCCATGGGGAGCAGTAGCGCCACTACCGCGCCCTGTGTGACGGGCAGAACTTTCAGTCTCTGCGGCAGAGCCTTCTGCAGACACAGGCTGCAGAGCACTGCCCTCAAGGGCTGCAATGATGGCGAATCTTTAGGCAGGCGCTGGGCAATGACGGTGTAAACAACTCTGACGCACTGAGAGCAGTAGAAGCAGGATCTGGAATTTCGGATCCTATCCTAGATTCTCCCGTTCACCTTGAAAAAGACTCTGAAATACTACCAATTAAAGTTTATTACTATTATGCCATGATGTGTATTTATGGTGAGTACAGTATCTTAATTTTATAAGAAAAAGGTAAAAACAGAAATTTAGTATTTACTTTGAAATAGCCAGCTTTGCAAACTAAGAGCTTTTCTGTCGAATACGTTAGTGAGAGGTAAGAAAAAGCAGCCCTCAGAATGCTGCCCCAGGAGCACTATATTGCTTGATCACCATTTTATCTTTTAAATTCTAAAGTTTAAAATTAACTTTTTACAAGTATTTGGTTATACAGTCTTCCTAATGAAAGCATATATGGCACCTTAAAGAAAAACCTTCTGAGGGCCGGAGATTTAGCTCAGTGGTTCTGCTGCCTGCCTTGAAAGCGCAAGGACCTGAGTTCGATCCCCAGTACCAAAAAAAAAAAAAAAAAAAGAAAAAGCTTCTTAGTTATCACTACCATATGGGCAAAGATATATTTTTCTAAGTCATAAACTTTTTTTATTAAATGACAACCCTTCCCAAGCATTTCTTTAAAAAAGAAAAACATATTTGGCGTAAGAACCAATCTTTATCAGAACCCACTAACTGATCTGGAGGCACTGGGAACTGAACTCAGGGCCTTCATGCTGAGCTACATCTCCAGGCAGGCAGGCAGGCAGGCAGGCAGGCTGGCAGGCAGGCAGGCAGGCAGGCAGGCTGGCTTGCTTGCTTGCTTTCCTTGAGACAGGGTCTCACTAAGTAGTTAAGCTGCCTAGGCTGGACTTTAACTTGTAACCCTCCCGCCTCAGCCTCCTAGCCAGGGTGCTGGGATCACAGGCGTGCACCACCACACCCAGCTTCATGATTGTTTAAATCAGGATTAAGCAAGGACTTCCTGTCTGGTCAAAAGGGAGTGTCAGAGCTCTTCTACAACGGGTTTGCTGAGAGAGCACAGGTGTCCTGAAAATCTCCACCAAACCAAAGCCAACGTGGGAGAGGAGAAGACTCCCATCAATACCACTGCCACTGGACACCCAGACTCGGGCAGGTCCACCACTGCTGGCCATCTGATGTATAAACACTGTGGCATCGACAAAAGAACCACTGAAAAATGTGAGGAGGCTGCTGAGGTGGGGAAGGGTGCATTCGAGCATGCCTGGGTCTTGGATAAACTGAGAGCTGAGTGTAAGCGTGGTGTCGCTGTCGACACAGCCCTGTGGAAATCTGAGACCAGCGAGTATCATGCGACCATCACCGATGCGCCGGACTCAGAGGCTATCGCAAACGTGACTCAGGCTGACTGCCATCCTGCTTGTGCTGCTGGTGCTGGCGAATTCGAAGCTGGGATCTCCAAGGACGGGCAGGTGGGCAGGCTCACCCGCTGCTGTGAAACAACTCCTTGTTGGTGTCAACAAAATGCATTCCACTGAGCCGCCTACAGCCAGAGAGATGTGAGGAAGTCGCTAAGGAAGTCAGCAGCTACACTGCGAGCACTGGCTACGACCCTGAGCAGGTAGCTTCTGGGTGGAATGGTACAGGGCTGCAGCCAAGGGCTCACGTGCCTTGGTTCAAGCGATGGCAGGTCCTTCACAAAGACGGCAACGCCAGTGGGCCCACAGCGCTGGCAGCTTAGGCGTGCACCCTGCCACCCACTCGCCCAACTGACAGGCCTCTTCGGCTGCCCCTCCAGACGTCTATAAAGCTTGTGCTATTGATACGGTCCCTGCGGGCCAGATGGGGACTGGGGCTCTCAAACCTGCACAGTGGCCACCTCTGCTCCAGTCCATGTCACAGCTGAAGTAAAGTCTGCTGAAATGTACCGTGAAGCTTCGAGCGAAGGTCTTCCTGGGAGCAGTGTGGGCTCGTGTCAAGAGTATGTCTCCCAAAGATGTTCTCCGTGGCAACATTGCTGGTGACAGCAAAAATGACCCAGCCATGGAAGCAGCTGGTTTCCCTGCTCAGGAGATTACCCTGAGCCATCCATGCCGGATCGGTGCTGGCTGGGCCCGAGCTGGATTGTCTGTCACTCAGTTCACATCCCTTGCAAGTTTGCTGAGCTGAGAGAAAAGATTGATCACTGATCTGGTAAGAAGCTGGAAAAGGACCCCAAAGTCTTGACATCTGGAGATGCTGCCACTGCACACACGGTTTTCAAGCCAGCCCATGTGTCGAGAGCTTCTCTAACCACGCTGCGTCGTTTCACTGTTCACAATGAGACACAGGTGCTGGTGTCATCAACGCAGTGGACGAGGAGTCTGTGGGAGCTGACCAGGTCATCGAGCCTGCCCAGGAAGCTCACGGGGCGGAAGGAGCATCACCCCGACACCTGCCACCCCGGCCTTCCCCACAGGCAGAGGACAGGCCTCAGAACTGTCTCCAATTGGCCGTTTAACTTTAATAGTGAAAGACTGTCACTGTTAATGATAACAACCCTCCCTTTTCCAAAGGAAAGGAGACTGTTTTGTGGAGTGTGTGTGTGTGTGTGTGTGTGTGTGTGTGTGTGTGTGTGTGGCAGTTTTAAGTTACTAATTTTTAAAATCAACACTTTAATGGAAAGAACTTGACCAAAAATCTGTCACAGAAATTTGAGACCCATGAAAACAAAGTTTAATGAGGAAAAAAAAAAAAAATGGAGTGACAGGGACATGATTCACCCTCCTGCCCGAAACAGCCAAAGAGGACTACATAAACTACTTAAGGCACAGGGCACCAGGGAGCAAGGCCAGCAGTCGCTGGGCGGTGGAGACGAGCCAGTGAGCCCTACTTTTACTACCCTGGGAGTTTCAGGCTGCAGGACAGAGGGAAGAAAGCCCGATGAGTTTCCAGGTTCATGGGAAGGAGCTCAGGGTCCGTGAGCTCAACCGTGCGAAGTTCTGAGCACACAGGCAGCATGGGAGATGGGAGGGCCGAGAGCCCTGCGGAAGGCTGCACGGTCAGCACTGGAAGGCCCAAGACCGAGCTGGGGAGAACAGGAAGACAGCGAGCGTTCCAGGGAGATGGTGGCTAGCACTGAAGGAGACCGAGCTAAATAGTCTGCAATAATTACCAACTTTCATCCTGCATTTCCTTCTTGTAAGGGTATTCTGGATTTTTATAAATTTTTTGCTTGGATCAATCTTTCTAAAAGTTAATTTGAATCTTAAAAATGAAAACTGTCCTACATTTTATGAGTGGTTTTAATTTAAGCCTTCTGCAAAACAGAATATTGGTTTAATATATGGATTAAAATTTCCATTATAAAATATGACACCTCAGAAAGTACTTGATATAAAATTACTATAAAAGAAAAATCATTTAAAATCTTAAAATGTCTAAATTTGAAAAATCAACATAGAATATACAATGTATCATACAAGAAATAACAATGCTGCTGGTGGAAATGGCACCACACATACCACACCCAGCAGCACACTACCAGGAGAGGCCCAGTCATCGGTCTGTCCTCACCTAACCTATGACCAGGTGGGGGGCTGCAGGAGGCGGTGGTGATGAAGCCAGCCCTTCACTCTGTAAACAGCCCAGGCCTCAGCTGGGGCAGCAAATCCTGGGCTCCTGAACACCGCACATCTCTTCTGTCAGCTTGTTACTCATGCAATGTCTAACCCACAGCTCAGCTCGGAAGCCTATCTCCAAAAGGCCACACAAAATCCTGAATTCCCAATAATCAGCAAGCAACCAGAAAATGGTTCGCAAAGGTTTCTTAGTTTTTGGACCTTACCCAGAACATACAAAAAGGTTTCTCACAAAGACCAATTTCTTTCTACCAAAGCTTCCCTAGCAAAACATTCTATAAAAATGATGCTTAGGAGGTGTAAAAAGATAAAGACAAGGCACTTGTCTTTATACACTGTATAAGGCAGCAGACTAGCATTTGAAAGGTCACACTCAAGAGTGTTCTAGTCAGAAATGGGTATATATTATTGCCAAGCAATCAACAAGGGCCTATATAATTTGTTTCAAGCTTTGAAAGACCTTAACTAATCTTCATCCCATGGCTCCATGTCTTCCACAGTACATAAAACTGGGCTAGTCAGCAATTTTCCCTGAAAGGTACTGAGCAGCTCTGAACACAGAGGATCTGCAGAGAGACGCTTCCTGGAGAAGGGCTGAAGGACTGAGGTCTCCCTGCAGAACACAACTGGAACCCCAGCTTCGGACCTGAGAACCCAGAAAGGTCAGCCAAGTGAAAGCAGGGCTCCAGGCTGTCCTGGCTGAAAAAGGTGACATCTGGAAAGCATTCACTCTTGGCACAGGGCTGATCACACCTGCACAAACCAAGCCATCCAATATTGGATTTACCACAGCAGAAGTTCACAACGCATGGCAAAATCTAATGTTTCCAAGACATGGAATCAACAGAGACAGAAACTACCAACCCTTTCTGAACACACGTGTTCCACAAGCATTCAACCAAGGCCTACGGTAAGCACTGCTCCATGCAACAGGCATGGTTTTCCTTTCCTCAAAGAGCATTCAAAGGATGAAGAGTCCACCTCCATCTCAAAAGCAGGCAAAACACAACAAAGCGACCGGCACTGGGTTATCTAAGGGGTAAAAGTTCACAGGAGCCAGACCAGGACCCATTCTTGACAGTTTAGGGACTGAAATCCTCACGCTTGAGAGCCGCTCCTCCCATATCCACAGCTGGGTGCTGCCTGTCTGTGTCTAACTACCAACTCTGCTTTCATTCATCCCGTCCCCACAGATGCCGCTCATCCTAGTCTCGGGCTCCCATAACCTTTGGCCTGAAGCAGAAAAGGCTCCAAGTTGTGAACTTCTTCCACCTCCTCAAGTCATCATGTCCTGTGTTGCTGACAAGTTACCTCTAAAAATACCTGATGGGATTTCCCTCAGTGAGACTTGGCTTCATTCTCCACCCTCTGTCTAAGCATAAAGATTCAAATGCAGAAGCCAGGCTGCAAAGCCAGAGGCAAATCGGGCAAGGGGAACCTTGCTCTCTGTTCCCAACCAGAACAGATACAAACTTTTACTTGAGAAAGATGTCACAGCAAGCAGCTCAAAAAGAAAATGCAAACAGCTTTTGGAGCACAATAGAAAGTGTTCAATAGTCTCATAATGCACAAGATAACATCTTCAACCAATCAGACTGGCAAGAACCAAAGTTAAAAAGCTGGTACTATGCCCCAGGGGAGGATAAGGGGAAGAAGGGGCACACACATCGCATGGGAGGCACAGATAGGCAGGGGCCTCTCTGGAGGGCAGCCTGGAGAGATTCACCACAATTCAGAATGCCTGGGCCTGCTGCCCAGATGCCCTACCTGGAAGGTGCAGCCCACAGAGGGTACCACCTATGTGCAAACACCTGGCTCTAGGAGGGGCAGACCAGGCTCAGTGCAAGGGGTCACCAAGGGACTCACAGAACTGTGTGCATCAGGACAAGACTGGTGAGTCGGGGCAACGCCAGGGAAGCCGCAAAGGCTGTGCGACGTGGCACAACCTCTAAGCAGAGTATGCTGCCGAGGGGAGCACGCCGCCAGCGCCCTTCCAACGGCTCTCCCTGCCAAGATGGTGACAGAAACACACACGCACAACTGTGACAGGACATAAAAACATTCATACTACTTGACTAAGGTAAAGAGGGTCTGAGCTCAGGGCTAAAAAGACCTTGAAAAACTATGAATCACTTCATAAGCTGCAATCTTTAACATGTTTAGGCATTAGTTTTCAAAATAACCTCTCAAGTAACTTTGAAAAAAACAGATGGGGAGTGGGTGTCCCATCTCACGACTTCTTCTGGGAACTCCTCTAACCACCTCACTCTTCCCTCCCTAAGCTAAGACTGCACGCCTGCGATCCACCTGGAAGCTGCTGTGCGCCCCCAGCCCACCGTCTGGTTCCTTGAAGCTATGTTCATTCTTCAAGGCCTGCAAGGCTAAACTCTCATGCAGTAATCACCTAAGAATCAGAACTGAATAAACCTTTGCAAAGCCCACAACACGTTTGTGACATCACACTGTCTCCCTAAAGGCAAAGGCTAGACAGTACACGATCCATCCTCCCACTCCAGCAGCAAGTGGGCTGCAAACGCAACAGGCATCTCAGAGGATGATGATCGTGTGTGGGGAGGAAGGAGAGCCCCCGGGCCCTGGACGACAAGTTCATTTCTACCCCAGACACCTGGGGAGACAGGCACAAGGCAAACACAACAGGACAGCCCCACATCACTTCCGGACGACGGAGGACAGCCACAGCGGCATCTTCAGCAAGGCTTGAGCTGTTCACTATTAACATGACATCTTCCACAGTGCTTTACTGGTTCTAACTCTCATGGGGCTTTGTTGACTTCCTCAATCTAAGCCAAGTGCTCTCTGAGGACCAGGGACAGAACTACGATATTTACTCAGAACACAAACATTTTGGTGGCTCACGAAAGATTCTCAATGCTTAGAAAGAAAAGAGGAACTGAGCAAGGATTAAATAATATCTAATGAAAGAATAATACATTTGGCAAATACAATTATTCACCTTATTCAAAAATATTTACCTACCCACTAAGGGGGTTACATTTAGTCACTACCACCTCATACATATTCCATGAAAGAAACCATTCTGATTTCTCTTTTAGCCAGTCTTAGAAGTCATGAAAATCCATAAATTATGGAAGGTACCACAAAGACAGAACATTCAATTACATATTATCTTGTATCTTGAAAAAGTTAAATACTTTACTAAAAATATCCCCAACTTGTGGAATGTAAGTAAAAATGTTTGACTTCCAATTCTAAGAAAATTACTTAAATTACTAGTTAGTGATATCAACTTGGTATGAGAAAAATATATGAAACTCAAAAACTCCTTTCAGAAAGTTTATTTCACTTTTTTCAATACAATATATGGCTAAGTGGAAAATGAAACAGGTATTCTAAGTGAAATAAGTACGTGAGAAGTTCTTCAGGAAAAGACAAAAGGTACATTTTATAAGGGTCTTTAACTAAGATGCCAAGCTATCAGGATAGTTAATTTTTAAAATTTTCTAATTTCAACTCTTTTACATTAACTCAAAAAACGAGTAAGCACACAACCTGGACAGCTAGGTGTTTCTCAGCCTTCAGAGTGTTGTGAAAGCGTCAAGCTGTGCTAGGCTTTTATGCAAGCACGCAGTCTATTTTTTTCCAATTCCAACTAATTTCTTTTCCAGTAAGACATCTGAAAGTTAAACTTCACTGGAATGTCTTACGTCTATATAAAATAAAATGTGGCCCACAGTGAACGACTCATCTTAAGAGCATGAAGCCTAGCTCCAATGTATCTTTCCATCATTTCCTTGGGGAATTAATTTCACCCCTTAAATTAAACTTAAGATTGTTTTCGGGACAATCTGCAAACTTACAGTGTTAGTTGGATCTTCTTGCAAAATTCGATCGTACAGCTGTATAGCATCATCATACCTATTTAAAAGGAAAAAAAACATCGAGACTCATTACCTTAAAAATGTAGTGATAAACAGTAAATACAGAAAAAGATTACATGGCAGGGCTTTAACCACATTCAAAATTGTTACCCAAGTCTTCCCATCTCCATTTACCAGTAAATGTTCACAATATTCTAATTTTTTAAAGAAAACACATAGTATCAATTACTTACAGAGCTTATCTCAAAAAATACTGATTCAATTGGCCCTAAACAGAAAGGGATAAACAGCCCAGGTTGATAAGATGGAGCAAGCACCAGAACGAGACTCACACAGGGCAGGGCAGAAGCTCGGACACTAGAGTCTGAAAGAGTAAGGACCCGTGCAGTGAGGGCTCAGCTCGGTTCGAGTGAAGGACATGGCAGAGATGGAAATGGAAACAGACAGATGGACACTCACTTCTCCCTGCATTCCTGAGTATGAGCAAAGTCTCAGGTCACCCGAAATGCCACTGCGCGTGTGCTCCACACACCTGCTGCCCAGGTTGAACTGAGGGCATCCTCTTCACCTAGCATCAGCGGTCCTAACCTACCAACACGCGCAGAAATCCATTCTCTCCTACTGCCCTTCTTTTGTCCTTAGAATATATATTCAACTTCCTCCTTAGGTTCTGCAGCTAGGTATCCATGACAGCACATCAGATGCAGCAGTTTTCACTCAAACCTCCACCTTCCTCATCCTGTTTGTGTTCTACTTGGCTGATGACAACTAAACATTCAACATAGAAAACCAAAAGTCGTATTTGGTATCTTTCCTTTGCTTCTAAAATGTAACGGTGACCCTTTCGTATCTCTCTCCACGCCTCTCATCCATCCTATGTCTCTATACTCCAGTTTACAACACTGGTGCAGCAATCTTGGAGGCTGTCTTCTTTCTGAGACTGCTGACTACACACCATCGCCAAATGTTCTTATGGACAAATGCAGCTGCTACTTTTCCTCACGGTCCTAGAATGGACTCCTTGCGCCTTCCGTCGAAATTCCTCAGCAGGACATATGAGGTCCAACACAATCTAGTACTCTCTCTATATGCAGCTGCAACCTTAGCAAAAACCCTGTTACACTTCACAGTCCAGCACGGTGAACTCTTATTCTCCCGGCCCTCCACAGAGGTTTCAGACGTTACCCCCGAAGAGGGAGGAACAGCTCAAGTGGGGGCCGACTCACGCTCCACAGAGAAGACCTCCTTTTCTCCCTCTTCCAAGTATTTCCTTGGAAATGGGGTTCTGTTTTTGAAGATAAAAACCCCTGGATTTGAAGATGGCACTTTCTATTTTCTTTGTTTTGAATGTGTGTTTGTGTGTATTTCCCAAAACAATACTAAGAAGTTGGCAAAATCCTTATTTCAAAGGATTGAAGGTGAAAGGGCTTAAAAGAAGTTAAATAATTTGTCTAGCATTTTCAAAAGCTAGAAAATGCTAGAACTAGGATTTGAAGCCAGTTCTTTCTCTAAAACATGATCTAATTTCACTGGGCCAGAGATGGCAAATGGCTCACACCTCCTGTCAAATCTTATTTCCTGGGAGCAGCTGACAAGATCTGTGCTGAAAAGAACTCTGACAACTATATTAGAGATAAGCCACAAAAGACCATGCACAATTACTGACGTGTCCTGGTGTCAGGAAACCTAAACACAGGCTCTGCATGTGCCATTTTTAAAATAAAATCACACTATTCACAAGATTTGGTTACCGTTCCGTGGCTTCAAATCTCATGCCTGTTAATCGCTTGACTCTATGCTGCCAGGGAACTGTCTTCTTAACTCCTGAAGACAAAACTGAAAAAAATAATTGGCAAAAAAGAGTTAAAAGTCTAGTCATTAGATTATAGGCCCTAAATGGGCCATAAAGAATGGTCTATATAGTTTTTACTGTGCCCTAAGGTTACTAATTAGTCTCACTTACTGTTTTTGATGGTTTTCATGTTTTGTTGAGGTTTTTTTGTTTTTGTTTTTCCTGTGGTTGGGACTGCATCAGGGCACTGTGCATGTTAGGAAAGTGTTCTGCCACTGAGCTGTACCCTACCCTTCACTACTGTTAAGAGTGCATTCAAAACTTGTCATGGAAAACATTCGACTCAAGCTATACACTAGCTCTTCACTACTTATATATATTCCACAAAGCAAATGAAATATAAAATGCAATACTCACCAATGCCAAGTCATCCCGACCATAGTCTAGGGCTGCAATCATGACCTGCTCATATATGATCCAAACTAGATATGGAAAGAGGGGAAAGAAC